ACCCACACCCACACCCCACACCCTCACCCACACCCACACCCACACCCACACCCCCACACCCATCCAGAACAATCTCCTGCATATACAACAGAACCAGTATATTGGATTCCATGAAAAAGTTGATTCGAATCCTTATTCAGAGTTAGACGTATCGGCTTTGTTTCATTCATTTCTGCTTTATTATTAACAGGATTTGGAGAATTAATAGAGCATTCTTGTTTAAGCTCCACTTTATTTCCATCTACTACCTTTTTAGCTTCAATACGTAAACGTCCTTCAGGACAAACTAAAGAAATAATACCTGTTCCAGTGGTTGTCATTGAAAATTTAATAGTTCTTGAATCACTTTTTCGTATGAATGTGCCGTTGACATTTGCAGCTGAGAACGGTTCATCCTTGTAGAAGAAATGAATTTCCACGCGGACGATTTTCAAATCTATGAAGCTTGGACTAATCATATCTTCGGTTTTAGTCACAGTGAAATAAGGTAAGTCGAAATGTTCTGTTCCAAAAAGTAACTTTACTTCTGCAGTGTATTTTCCGTCTTGCTTTCCAGAGAAATCGATTGGACGTTGAGAAGTTGCATTGAATTTCTTTCCGGATTTAGTATGAGTGAAAGTGAGTGAGACTTCTTTTGACATTGGATTTACAAACAGTGGAAAAGCAATTTCTAAACAATAGATACTTCAGGAAACTCTAAAGAATTTGTGGATGTGGGTGTGGGCGTGGGTGTCGATGTTGGTGTCAACCAAAAGTGCACATCCACACGCACATGTACATCCACACCCTCTTTTTTTGTTTCGATCCACTTCCTCCTAACCTGATTGACATTCTATTTATGTAAACATGTCTATCACTTTAATGTTGGCTCCTCAGAGAATTTAGAATTCAAAAATTCGATCAATCTTTATTATTTGTGATTTTTCGATCATTAACATAGCTTCCAAGGAGCAACATACATGACGAAGACCCTCAACCAAGGTCGAAGCGCATGGGGTGATGTTCTCAATCTCTAATATGTTTTATATATTCTATAGATTCAAGTCTGTTCCTGATTCATTAAGTTGGAGCGAAACGATTGCCATCTAAAGATTTCCGTTGCTGAGATGAAATACTGTAACATCATGGTATCTCTATAGTCTCACACCCCCGCTCTGAAATATACTTCTAGCTATCCATCAAAGTATATTGACACTCAATTCAAAAAATTCTTCAATAAATATTCACCGACATGGGCATCGTCGCAACTACTACCATTAATTGACAATGAAAAGGAGTTTTTCTCGATCCGTCGACGATTACTTCTTCAACCAAGTGCTGATCAAGAGAAAAGATCGAAGCGTATAGCTAGATCTAATATGATTACTAAAAAACGTGAACACAAAGCATAGTTGAAAGTACAACAAGCCAAACGTCATCTTATTTTACACACAATCTACGAAAAAAGACTTAGAGTTCTCAAACGAGATATTCATGATCTCTGGTAAACACTATTTGGCAATTCCGACCTTAGAGACCTGAAACTAATTGTTGGTAGTCGAAACAGACGAAATGCAAAATTAGAATTGATAAAAACTCGACCTCTTTGTTCATTGATAAACATCAAAGACGATGTCAGTAAATATTAACGTTTTCTCCTCATTCACAAAAACCATCGTGATATAATCATCATTAACTTACTTAATAGATACTGTTCCAATGACTGCACCAACAACATGATCATAAATTGCAGCCGGAAGAACTTCTCATTTACTAGAACTGCAAAATGCTCATCTTAATTCCTGTGTAACTCGTACCCATCCTATTCCAATACAAGCACTTCCAATAAAATCAAATCATTTTCTTTCATAAGCACATAATCTAATACGGACAATCGACTAATTCTCTAATAGTTTTTCCGTTCTAGATAACCTATAAAACATTTCATATTGACGACAGAACACCATCGGAAAAATCATTATGACCCTAAGAACAAGAATAATCACCAATTACCAAGCACAAAACTATTAGTTTCCCAGGAAAAAACAACGCAAACTAGTCACGGTTGCTCGTACTTAAACATTTTGTTTGAGTACACTGACACTATTACTTGCGAGTAATTGCAGAGCAGTTTTTCATCTTCTTGATGAAATTCAACCATCTGAAGAGTACTTCTTTGTCAGCGAAGCTGGAACCCGTCATTGTTGATCGTACCAGATGAGAAATCTCTGCTTTGAAGTTTATAAATTACACGTGGGAAGAATTCGTTCTTTTCAATTTATTCTATAAAATTATGCAGTAGTAAAACTACCTGACGATTGACCCTTGAGAAGGGTCGAAACTATAGTCGTAGTACTTCTTAAACTTAATACAAAATGGTAAAAAAATATTCAAAAAAAAATTCCCAATAATGCAAAATGGGGGTTACATCGCCTAATTTTTGATGGTTGTTTTATTTTTTTTTCCATAGAAAATGAACATTTTTAGAGATTTTCGTTGCCATGACAAAATGTAAAAGCAAAATAAATATGATATTTGGAATCAGTATCAAAGACTGTATTTAATCATATGCTTTTAGCGAAAAATTTTTTCTGTTCAAAACTAGTCTGTGGTTCCCCACAGCTATATTTGAGAAATTTTTCTTCCTGGTTCCCATAGGTTATCTTTGGACAGGAAATACTTTTCCCTCAAAAGTATATGATTAGATACAGTTTTTGACGCTGATTCAGAATATCATATTTATTTTGCTTTAACATTTGGTCATGGCAATGAAAATCGCTAAAAATGTTCATTTTCCATTGAAAAATCATAAAAAATCTTCAAAAATCAGGTGGTGTAAGCTCCGTTTGGCGCCGAGTATGCACTTTGTTTTTAAACATTTTTTTACCATCTTGTAGAGAAAAAAAGCTGCACAACATATGTAACATTCACCTTGGCTCTTCTTGATTCTGAAATACAGCAGCGGGTACATTATTGTATTTGGACTGATCGAAAGACCCCTTTTGACTCATGTTCTCTTTATAAAACATGAGTTGATAAACATTATATTACATTCATATAGCTCATTTTGCTCAGCTTTTAATTCTCTATCTTTTGGTATATACCATAAAAAATTTCAATCACCTGTTGAAACGTAAGCTGGCACAGCTTCTATAGGGAATTTTTTTCTTTCTTTTCCTCAAAAGGTATGATAGTGCCAAAAATCGATATTGGCCAACTTTTCAAAGGGAAGGTATTGAAACCTAAAATTTTGGGGTCGATGGTTTTCGTCATTAATCCGTTGAATGAGAAAAAAAATCAAAAAAGAATTTATCAAGTGTCTCGTATACTCGGTCCTATCACAGACGCTCTCTTAAGGGTGTTGTGCATGTGACTCTTGTTTTCACTCACATCTTTTAATTAAACTTAGAGAGAAAAGTGCATGTATAATGAGTGATGAAAAGTTCTGTATTAATTTTGTTTTTGATATAGCGCTGTGATGGGATGTCGTAAAGACTTATTTTTTTTGTTACAAAGAGCAAGTGTCCAGTGCCAAAAATTCATGGAAGAATTTGTTTGGAAATTTATTTTTGAAACACCAGAAATATTTCAAAATAAAAGACTTTGGAAAACTCTTTCGCAACTTTGATCATAATTTTTCTATCAAAATATATTTCTTTGATCTTGTTGATTATCAACTTTCGACCTTTTAAAACACTGTATATATATATGTATATATATAGTTGTCTATTAGAATAAAGGCTTTCATGTAATATTTAAACCATGGATCTAGTATACAAGAAAATAGATAGCAGACAATGTGATCAAAAAACTTATTTTGGTCGATCGAGGATTTACAAAGCGAAAACAAAAATCTGTGGCTGAATATTTGTCATAGAGAATCTCTATCTTTTTCCATATAATATAGTTAGGGAAAGGACTCAATAGGCTTTCTTTTTCATATGAAATTTATAGCTTCTGACAACCTCTCTTTCAGAATAGGCTTCATTTTTTCGACTGTAATCGGCAGAGATGAAAAGCATTGATACCAAGGGATAGCGTAAAAGCGTTTATTTTGACTATTATAAAACATGTGCACAGTTTTCTTTTTTTTTTATACAACAACAATGCCATTTCCTTAACTTGTACAACTCACATTCGGCGTATAAACATATACACGATCTAATTTGATGAAATCTTTCTAAGCTCAAAGCTGTTGCGGAAGAGTTTTCTATAGCCTTTTTGTTTTAAAATATTTGTGGTCTTTGAAAAAAGTTGCAATCAAATTATTTTGTAAAATTTTGCACTAGACACTGCTTTTTCTAACAAAAAAAAATAAGCCTGAGACTTTCCATCATAGCGCTACATCAAAAACAAAATCAATACGGAATTTTTGCGTCATCCGTTATGTGCATCTGCATCAAAACAAGGAGACGAATGATTAGAACGACTATGCAATGAAAAAAATGCTAGAAGGAATCTAGGTGTTGGAGAACGAAAGTAATAGTAAAAGCAACTAAACCAGTGGAAAACGAAGAAATGGTGTGAATAATGAACATAAACCTATGTAGAAAGAAAAATGAAAAGAATGAAATGCAAAATTTGTAAACCGGTTGAACCAGCGGATACACGTAAAAATATAGTCCGACCCGTAAAAATCGTAAAACGTGAAAACACCTTGCCCGTGAACCGTCAATATCATCGATGTGAAGCTAGTACAACACGACGAATTACCACGACGAGAGAAAAAAGTCTATTGGTCCGATGAACAACCAATCAGAAAATAGAAAAACGAAAAACATCAGATTGGAGGCGCATAATTTGGAAATGACGGCCCTTCGCAACGGAATTTTAATGAAAAGGATCGCCCAATTACACAGATATTTTTTTTCACTTCCTCCCCGATACTCATGAACAGAGAACGATTGCGTCAGAAAATTACAACAATGGTTGAAAAAATATGCAGTTGGAATATTTCAACGTCAAGTTTCTCTCTTCGTGAGTATCGCCCAAATATGAGTTATACATCATTCGATGCAGAATTTAATTCTCTACAAGAAGATGTATAACTTATTCACGGGCGACGGACTATATCGTCAAGATTTAGATTTTTTTCAAAATTTTTTTCTTTTTTTGTATGAGTATACTCATAATTGACGGTATATCACTTATATGGAAATAAAATCTTGATATGAGTTGTACATCAATCGATGGAGAATTGAGTTCTCTACAAGATGATGTACAACTTGTCTTCGGGTGGTGGGTCATGTTGTGAAGACGTTGGTTTTTTTTTGTGGCTGCATGAATAGTTGAACAAGCGTGGCGTGGTTCAATATGAATTATGAGTAGGTTTTGTACCTCAATGGATGCAGAAATGATTTGTATGGAATGCGTTTCACATCTTATCTCGGAGAAATGGACGGTATCGTCTATAGTGGTAATGTGAAAGCGTATATTGGTGGAAGTTCGTGAAGGTTTTTTTTAAGGTGATGAGAATTTTTGTTTTTTATACAGTTTTGGTGATTTATTTTTAAAACTTGATTAGTTTTTATTTTGTGGTTTGAAAAAAGGTGATGTTGCTATGGAAATTTTCTGTGGTATTTTATGGATTCATAATGGTAAATTATTCTCGCACTCTGATTGATCGAGTGGAAGGTCGGTTCTGATTGACCGTCGTGGTAGCTTCACATCGATGTCAATATCTCTGGTTACTACGTACTGTGAATGTGCCTTACGAATAGTTGAATCTTCGAAACTTCTCGATGTATATTCGGCATCTTCGACATTCACCGAGGCATCTCGACGTTCTCTATTCCCTTCGTAAGAAACATCATTTGTTGACTTAAAACTGAGAATATTTTTCAGAATTTTTCTGAATTAAGCGAAATTCGGAAGAATTTCAACGAATGAAAACAGTATGCATGCGTCTTCTATACTTTCCTAATTTTCATATCATAGGTTACGTTATCGTTACTCCTGTTTCAGTATAATCAAAGAGGGGTTTTCAAAATGAATTTCGTCAGCTTTCAACTTAATTAGTCTCCGGAATTCTCCGTTGTTTTAGAGTAAGAGAAGCCTATAAAAAGTCCGTACGAAAGACACTATATATGATTAAAACTGATTTCGAAAATTCTCACGACATTTGCCTAATAACAGAGTAGAAAATTGTCGAAAAGTTTCTGAAGAACATTTTTTTATGGAGATGGTTACGACTAGATGTTTATAAAAAATAATTTCAAAAATGTAATTCATACAAAACAGTTTAAAAATAACTAATTGTACACAACTAACAAAACTATATACTAACCAATTATATTACTAGTATCACTTTTAGTCGTATCACCCACTAAAGTAGTTCCTTGGACTTTGAATTGACATTTTCCTTCTATAAGATTTGAAATATCCACAGATAATGTTGCATTCGCAGTTGTTAACAATAATTTCCATTTATGATCTGAAATAGTTTTACTATAAATCTTATATTGCTGAATACTTTGACTTCCATATATAGGTTTTGACCAATTAAGTGTTAAACTCTGATCTGTAATATTTGTTACATATGGTTGTCCTGGTCTACTTGGAATATCGAAAGTAGTAGGAACATCATTTTGATAAAGAATAGATGTTACTCCTTTATTCATTTGAAATTCATCAGCATATTCTTCATTAACAATAAATTTAATATTTGATTTAGAATAATTGACTTGAGCAAATTTGATAAATAAAGAAATTTGATTTTCTATTAATGAAAAATTATTTTCATTAAACCAATAATCGTTATTTGTGTATTGATTTATTGATTTTGTTATGTTATTATTAAAATATGGAAATATTTCATTTAAAAATGTATCATTTTTTGATGTAACATGAATTATCAAACGAAGAATAAATTTAGATTTTAAATTCTTTCGAACTTCATCGAATGAACATGATAATTGATGAATATTATCTTGTTTTCGTAACTTATTGCGAAAAGCCTTAAAAATATTTATTTCCTTTGTTTTAAATTCAATCCAATCGTTTAATTTTTGTTTATTAGATGGTGATAAATCAAGATTTTTCTGTAGATTAGTAAGAGCTATTTCTTCCATAGAACCAACACGAATCATCGGTAATAGTTGCATCATTTGATTTCTTATATAAATTTCAATTTCAGATAATCGATTAAAATATGTTAACAATTGTTGTTCAGTTCGATTGAACATTTTAATAGATGATAAAGTAATTTTTAAATAACTTAAAGTTACTTTTACTTGATATAAATTATCAAAAAATTCTAAAATTTTAATAAGAATATCATTACTAATTTCATAAAAATTTTTCTTTACTAAACGATATTCATCTAATAAATAAAGTGGATATATCCATACTTGTTTTGGTATTGTATAATCAGTATTTTGACCACGAAATTTTGATAATTCTTTATATAATTTAACCATTGCTTCAAATGTTGTTGGATTTGATTGAACTTGAAAATCACCATAATATTGACATGTTAATGTTGCAGCTAGTTTTTTTTCATGATTTTTCCAATTCAATTCACCATTATCAAGTATTTGAAAGGTTTCAAATTTTTTTAAAAGTAATTTGATACAATCTTCAATATTCGCACGATCTTCATCAATAGATAATTTTCGATCGAATAAAAAAAATATATCACCACCATAAAGAATATCAGTAACAACATGAGTAGCAATTTGTTGATCTAATACTGCTTGATATTTTGTATAATTTATGTTGATATAAGTCATTCTTAATGCATGAATCTGTTTTTTTATTGAATACTTTAAAATAAATCGTAGAGTATGATTTGTTTTCTTTTGATCATCAATTAATTTTGCTGAACCAGATAATTGAATAAGATTAGCTAGAACACTCAATTTAAGGTTATTATCAATTCCTACTAGATCTGCTATTTCTTTGAATGTATCTGGCATATAAAGTTTACACTTGCTCCATGATAAAGCTTCACAATTAATATATTGTGAGCCTGGATCCGAATTCCATATTGATGTATCAAAAATGAGTTTATCAGTTTTATAATCATAAAGTATTCCAAGTTGGAATGGACGATCAAGTGCCATTATTTTTAAAGTTGAATGGTTTTCAGTTGACATTTTTAAACTTATTAATCACTTTGTTACACTCGTAAATTATACAAACAAAAATAAAAAATTCAACTTACCTTTTTAAACTGTTCACCAAACTAAAATATGCTAACAAACAACAAGATAACGATATTCCACAGTCTTTTTAACGAACATAGATAAGAATATATTTTGCGTACGTTAAATTTCAGAAGAAAAGATAATACGAAGAGCAAACAGCGAAAAGATATTTTCAGTTATGGTGTGGGGTGCAGGGTATGAAGATGCTGCCATGATCGGTTTCGTCCTTGCTAAAGGGACTCACCTTGAGAGTGTGGGTGTGGGTGTGGGTGTGGGACGGAATGTGTGAGTATGGGGTGTGTGGCTTTGAGTGTGGGGGTGCGTGGGTGGTGTCTGGATGTGGGGTTGAGTGGGTATGGGTGTGGGTGTGTGGTGTGTGGATTGAGGTTTCAGTGTGGGTGTTAGTCTTGTTTTCGCTTACACCCACACCCATCAGTCATTGGTTTTACTTTTAGCCTGTTGTCTTTTAATCTTATTCCGAAGTCCACTTTTGCTCGATTCATTTTATTCTACCTCCTCGATCATTAGTAAGTCGACCATGGACTAGAATTCTACCAAGTCAACATCATAATTACTGAGTCTGGTACCCTTACGCGCTCGTTACAAAGATTCGCATAGTTTTGAGATATGAACTTTCGAAAAGTTCCAGTTATGTGCTGTTCGATCACCAACCATCAAGACGTCTACGATGAAGATTTTATGTATTCAAAAAGGCTCGACAAAACACTATGAACCATTGTCTTATTTTTTGGCAATGATACAATATGTCGTTTGTGTCTTATGAGCCATTCACAGAGAGAGAAAAAAGTTGATTGACGCATATACCTTGGTTCTTTTTTCGCGGAAAGATGATGTCCTTGCACACAGCATACTTGAATAGCGGTCTTTACTTGCTTGGTAAATATTTGATAAGAAAATGGGGAGTAACACACTTTGTCGGCTGTTATCAGTGGATTTTTTCAACGTTTAAGAAAAACAACACAAAGCCAATACACAGGTGAAGTAACCTTGAAACAGCAAGCGTTGATGCCCATGTGATGATGTTTGCAGCACCTTGATGGGAACGAATTTCTTGAGGGTGTGGGTGTGGGGTGTGAGTGTAGGTGTGAGTATGAGTGTAGATGTGTGGGATATGGGTGTGGGTGGGTATGAGTCTTCTTTTCATCCAAACTGACACCCTCACCACTGTGAGTGTGGGTGTGGGTATAGGTGTTACTATTATCATTCACACCCACACCCACACCCACACCCACACCCACACCCACACCCACA